ATATATATTTACACCAGAGAAAATATATCTTATATCCGGGTTACACATATATATATATATATACACACACATATATATATACACACACACATATATATAATTTATACACACATATATATATATATATACACACATATATGTGTGTGTGTGTCACACACATATATACACACACACACACATATATATATATTCACTTGATATGCATATATACACACAACACACATATATTCCACACACACACACACACATGCTTATACATATGATTCACACACATCTCTATATATATATATATTTATACATATATACACACACACACATAATTATGTGCAAAAATAAAAAAATAAAATAAAAATATATATATTTTATATATATATATATTCATTCATTCACATATATATATTACCCAGGAGGCACTACTGGTCTTAACTTTAGGATATTACAAAGAAGACATTTTGGGGATTTGAAAACAAACCCTATAAAACTTTGAATCAAATCTTTATTTACACTAACATGCACAGAAACATTAAATATAAGCAAAAAAAATATTCAATTTATATAAATGAGATTTGATGATCCCACAGTCTTATAATTCTCAATAATTAAGATTCCAGTAATGACTTGCTTCAAACTTGAAGGTACTGTTCAAGATGAGTAACTCCTACCCTGTCTCCTCAATTTGCATTTAGCCATTAAATTTGTACTCTAGTTAACTAGTGCACAATCAGACAATCTTTATGGATATTTTATCCTGACAATATATTGAAAACTTTTGTAATTTTTTGAATGGTTTCCTTTCAAAAACTTTCCAGCTATTTATTTTTATTACCCAGTGTACCAAAGTTTTAAAGGGATAAAAATTATTATCATATTATAATTTGGGACTGCACACTTATACTGCTCATACCAAGCACATAAGTAATATTATCTGTTAACAATAACAATAAAAATTTAATTATGCCAACTTCTTTATGTAATGTCTTATTTACCTTAAGTAAATAATGTATTAACAATGCTTCACCAGTTCTATAAATATATATCTGTAGAATTTTCTAAATATATCATATTGTTATTAAAGGTATAGGGTCTGTAAAAAGTAACATATGACAGAAGATGAGGCAAATATTGTGATTTTATTTTAACTAGAATTCTCATTGTTGATTTTAATATAATATATAAAGGTTAACCTATTTTCCAACTTTATTATTGAAGTAAAGAATTTATTATAACATCCTTAAAAGTAACTGAAAGAAAAATCCATTTAATGAAAACTGGAAAACAAATCTGGAAAAAAAACGATGAGGATGTTAGTTAAATAATGAAGTACCATTCTTCATTAACTTTTCTAAGCTACACTTGGCTGCTGCTGCCACTCCCTCTATTGGCTGCAGGCAATAGTACTTACATAGAAAAGACCATAGTACATATAATCAAGAAATAAACTGTTGCCAAAAAGACAACAGAGAATGAGGGTAACAGGCTTTCATTTGTTTTACTGTGTTAGTCACCTGGTAGATAAATAAGTTAGAAGCTGGAGTCATATGAATTGATTAGTATCTGTCTATATTTCTGAGATGAGGTATTATGTACACTATTTACATTATTCAAACTATTCTCCTCATCTTTGTTGCAATATTTATCACAACATTTCAGCTGTTGTATGCTCCTGCCTTCTTCAGGTGGTTGGAATGTCAAAATGAACCCTTTATTTCACTCACTGGGGTAGACTGTTCTAGTTCCAAGTGTCATGTCTAATGGATGTCAGTTATCAGTTATCTCCTGCTAATTCACTGCTCCAAGTTCTCCACTGCCTTAACCAGGTATTGAACTCACATTGTCACTGGATCTAACCAAGGCCTTTATCCACTGTGCCATGTGTCCTTAAGGACATATCACACAGTGGATAAAATTAAAATTACCTTCAAAATTAGGTCTTCAAAGTTGCATAATATACAAGTATATACAGTACATTTATTTAAATTAAATCAGTTTAAATTCTAGCTGACAGGATTAAAACACGAATAAAAATTTGAAAAACTAACTTTAACAGATAATTTACAAAGCATTTGCATAAAACTTGGAACACATGATTTTATAGAGAAACAGTTTTTAAAAATATTCTTTTTGTATATTTAAGGAATATCAGAGTATTCCTTGAGTTTAAAGATTTTGTGAAAATTAATTTCAAGTACAAAAACATATTGAAACAGATTCCCACAATTCTTTCAAGATTTGCCTTGTATTTTAAAGATTAAACCAATATTGCAATTACTATAATCTCAATGACAGTAAATGACTATCAAACAAGCTATATTTTCTCAAGCAGTTATAATCTTACCCTGAGGGTGGTGTAAAGTTTGCATATGATCCTCCAGCAACTCCCATCACCTAAAAAATAAAAGTAGCATTATATAATTTTTCTAATGTAAGAATAGAGCTGGTTATTAGTTATAAGTAAATTTAGACAAATACTTTTATTTTTGTTGCTGATACATTTAAATCTACATAAAAAGAGGATCAGATTATTTAAATACTAAAATAATCACTCATTTTATGGGTCATAAGAATACTATTACAATTACACAATTTCTTACCAATAAAATCTGAAAAGCAAAAAGATCCAAAAACCAAACTTTTTATTGTATAATATGGTCACTTCATGGTTACAGCACAAAATATAATTAGCTATCCTCGTGTTGTAATGTATGACAAGAGTATGTTGAGGCTGGGGGAAACATCTAACCAATTGCTCTCCCAGCAACTACAGGGCTAATAGGCAGGGAGGGGAAAGAGACAGGAAGTGAAATAGTAACAGTGCCTCAGAAACAAAAGCAACTTTAGTAACAAAATGTCCATGGAACTGATTTCACAAGACACCAAGTCTTGCCAATGCCTGACTGCTGGTCTTTTCATTGCTTTTATTGGCATGAGGTATTTTATAAACACTTGGATATTGACAAGTTGCAGAGAAGCCTGTATCTAAACATGCCAAGCTGTCCTGCTGCTAATGGGGAAAACCTGGATGTAATTGATGTTGACAGATATTTCTGCACATGATCTGGGGGCCTCTTTTGAATCTGTACTGATGCACATTTACCACACTCCTTCCTGATCTCCTGATCACAAATACAACAGCTAGGAGCAGGTCTCTTCAGTCAAGTGCTTCTCCGAAAGAGAGGCTGGTTTGTGTTCCTTCACCTCATCCCCATGTGATTCTTCCTCTGTGGGATCATCTGGTCTACCCTTGCTCACAAGGATTTCTTGCTCAATTTCAAAATTATCATCTTCACTAGTTGTTGAAAATCATGAATTCATGGAAGGACAAAGATCCTTGATATGCTGTGGCATTCCATCCACCAAGACTGATTGCAGACTGTCCAGTAAATTGTTCTTTTTCCAAAAGTTGTTGTACACCAGTTCTCCCACCTTGTACACTTTGTGACCCACTTCAGACATCACTGGAGACACTGAATCAATCCTTTTAAGCAAAACCGTGTATCTGTAGACTCGATTTGCAGGCGCAGTCAGTGGTGAGGTGTTATCTTTGGGGGTTACATTGTTTCCAGTAGGTGACCTCTTCAACAATATATTTCATCCTGGCCACAATCCTCTTGACACTTCTGTGACACCACCCTGCTGGGACATGTGTGCACTGGAATCGTAGATGCATGTCCCATCCTTGAGCAAAGGTCTGGAACTGCTTGTTGCAGAAAGCGGTGTCATTGTCTAAATAGTTCACATGATAGCCCCCACTTACAGAACACTGACTCCAGCTGATGCATGATACTCAATGAATCTTGGTGTTGTAACAGCTGCCACACAGACAAATGTGACAGGTCACAATCTGTTAGTGTCAGGTAATGGCTGCCGTGGTAGTGCATGATGTCAATGTCGAGCCTATGCCAAGTACTATTAATTCCCAGTTTGCCCTTTTGCCAATGGACTGGTGGAGGATCTCTTGTTGTGCACTCCACACAGGTCCCAATGGCCGACTTTACCATGGCTTTTGTCATGGAAGGACAAACTCTTCTCACAAAATATGTAGCACACCACACTCCTGGATGCCCACTGCATTGATGTACTTCCATTATCTGACTGGGACTCATGGAAAGGAAAGCAGCACACACCTGATGCACAAGAACAGATCCCTTTTTGGCTATATCAAGCCACCTTTGGTGCATGTGAGTCATTTTGTTCGGTCATTGAGCAATATAGTAAAAAGTAAAAAAAAAACTCTACATGGACAATTAATGTATAACTGACAAAACAGTCAGTTTTGCATTTGAAAATAAAGATTACTAGTGGTTCCTAGTATCTCATTCAACAAAGTAATGTGAATATGTTTATTCACATATGGAAGCTCACTATGAAATTCAATTGAAGGTGAATAGAGCAATGAAAGGAGTTAAGTATTTTTTATACTGTTCAGAATTTAGAGTCTCAGAAAGTAATTCATAACATTTTGATTAAAAGTAAAATATAATTGAACATAAGGAAAATAGGTCTAATACTTACATTTTTAATGTTGGATGTACAAATTTCAACAGATTGAGAGTCAATGTAGCCAACTAAAATAAATATGAAAAAGAAAATCATTATTTACAAAAGCAAAAATAATACCAATTTTCTAACAAAAGACAGCCATATTTTTTAAAAAATTTTATTAATTTTTTATAAGAAAATTGACAATACATTAGTTTTCTTTTTTAGAATATATTATTTAATAATTTTTATAATCTATCCTCATCCTGGTTGTAATTTTTCTTTAGTGATTTGATCTAACTTTCATCAAATGAAACTTTAGCTGCTGAGCTGGTTATTGCTTATTTAGCTGTGTTGTATTATAGGATTTCACAGAGGGACTGTATAATTTTTCCTGACTATGTTCCCTTGCTATTTTTTAAAGATTAACACAACAAAGGTGAGGATAACTAAAAAACAAAACACATTGAATATTAACAACTCAGTTAAAAATTTCAGTCAAAAAACTGTTAAAATATATTTCTTTGAGCAACAGAATCACTTTAGGTTATAGATTTAGAAACCTCAAAAAATTTCATTAACGATAATAAATTCTATACTTTTGATAAAATGATAAATTCAGCAAAAAAGTGAACAATTATTTTTTCAAATCATTTTATAAAAAAGTTTCTTCTCATGTTAGAAAATTTTTATTATCCTTTTAAAGTGATAACAAGTGCATGTATGTATGAATAATTAAGAACCCATTACAGTATATATAAATATGCACAGCTTTCATGGAAAAGCTTGAATGATCTGTGTGTTAAGAAATGTAAATAACATTTTACCTTTTCCGTCTTCGGTTTTGGCTAACCATTTTCCAGCAGGGTTGTTGTGCATACGTAGAATGTTGATTCTGTCTCCCTTCTTTACGGTCAATTCAAGCTTACCTCCCTTGCATGACTCTCCAGTATATGTTCCTTCACCAACAACCTTTTCTGTTCCATCCATCTAAAATATAAAATTTATTAAAATAACTTCACTGAACTAATTGGGTTACACTGGCCAATATACTTAACAATTCTAAACTTCAGAATCAAAGATCTAGTTCCAACAATTGATAGCATAAGATTACAAATTTAAACTAAACCAAAGCTGAGAATAGTTTTAGAACAACAAGCATAAAAGTAGTCACTTTTTAAATGGAACCTAATTTTTTTATTGTTCAAATATATGATCACTAAAATACTTTTCCTCATAAATAACTGACCAATATTATTCAACAAAAGCAAAAAAAAACATCTTTGGCTAATATAGGAAAAAAATTATTGGTTTAATTTGTACTGCAGCATTTAATATCAATAAAATGCAGTTATACCTAGAAAATGAGTAAAACAAAGTTTAATATTTGCCTGAAGCAAAGATTGACAGTAAGAGAAAAATCGGAAATCCATAATCTGAAGTTCTGAAAGTGAAATAAAAAGTTCCATTTCAATGTAATATTTATTTGATATCTAAAAATGTATGCCATTAAAGATTTGATAAAAACTGATTTTTAACATCCCAACAAATCTTGCTTTAATAAGTATTGAATTTTCAGATTTATTCAAATTAGCTTGTAGGCTTTTGTGAAAGTTTAACTTATACAAGAAGCCACAAAGCAAACAAATGGATGAATATGTAAATTATAAATATTACATATTAATCAATAATACTGTGTGAAATGAAAATATACTTTTGTTGAATTGATCAAAGACAGATTGTGTTACAAATGTTTCCAGATGAGCAATGGTTCAACCGAATATCTATAGTTAGAAAATATATTGAAATTTGAAAAGTGCAATTGAACAAACTTTGATTAAAATACTCACTTTGAACTTAGCTCGAATCTTCTTTTCTTCTTTTTCTTGCTTTTTCCTTTCCTAAAGAAAAGGTAAAACAAATATAGACCAGTTTTGTAAAAATAATTTAACAGTCTAATAATAATTAGTTGAATATTAACAAATTGCATTCTATTGTAAGTTCCAGAATGTCACCTCAGAAAGGAGACCATGAAAGTGGAATTAATTACAAAGTGAAATAAACCAAGGAAAAGTTTGTGAGTATTAAAAGTAAATGATTTAATTCTTTTTGATAGTCCTCCATAAGAAATAAATTTACAAAAAGAAAATGTTTTATAGAAAAAATTTAATTTTGAAACCAAAATAAAAAAAAAGATTAAAATATAGTGAAATAAAGAAATCAGAAGCAAAGGATAAAGGAATATATTAAGAGTTTTTGATAGAAATATTTGCATCATATTTTTATCATATATACATGATGAGAATAGGTTTTATATATGAGGATATTAATAATGAAAAAAGTAAAGAATTTAAAAGTACAGACAAACCTCTTATCAACAGACTAACGGGAGGGGGGCCCGTTAAAGCCAATGGAAAGGGATTATTTTTGAGTTATAAAACCACTATAGTAACTACCAGTAGTTATAATCATAATGTAAATACCATAAACATGTATATATGGCATAATTAAATATATACTTAATATAGATATATTAATCAAAATACCAAAAATAAAAGATTTCTCACAGCTACTTTCTCACACATATGCTAATGTATTGTACTTTATATACAGTACACCCATCTTTGTTTACAATTGAAAGGCCCACCACCACCAAGTGGTAACTTTGAGAACTAATACGACTTGTTCCGCTATGCGTGCAAATTTTGAAATACATCGCTGATGTTTTTTCCTGCAGATTTTTTTATTTTGCCTGAAGATTTTGTCCGTTGCATCTGAAGTCCATTGATGAGAGGTTTGCCTGTATATGTATAAGAAAAGTTGGCATATGTTGATTATAAGAAATAATTTTTAATTATTTGCACATAAGTAAGGTTTGAGAAAACTACTTGCACATCATAAAGAGGGACAAAAAGATAGCAGCAATTTGGCTATATACATTAAGCACAATTTGAATATCTCCATTCATAGCATGTGATTCATACCGGGAAATACAAGAGTTATGAATCAAATTTAATGTCTATCAGAAATGCATTATCTTAAAAGAGTTTATCTGTGGTGACATCAACATGTGCTGGGTTCACCTTAAAGGATACCAAAGTCAGCTTTGTACTTGGTGTCACATCAAAACATTAAAAGAGCAGTGGGTTGACTTAAAATGTGACCATATATTCACCAAGTGCAGAGATGGACCTCAAAGGATGTCAGTGGGTTTACTGATATAAGCAGGAAGTGAACTTAGCTCAACTTAAGATATACACACATGACCGCTAGATGACAAAGTTATATAAATGTTCAACCCACAAGAGGGAGAGGGAGTCTCTCACATCATCATAAAAAGAAGATTGAATGTTTGATGTCCCTAAAAACCACATACCCTTCATAGCCAACATTAATTTGATGTAAACAATTATTTTACATAAGAAAAATTTATTTTCGTATTTTATCAGACATTAAAAACATTACACATTAAACTGAAGTAAAAGACTTCATGGTAGAGTAATAAAATTATATTATATTACAAGTAATGTAGCTTGGTAGAGTTGGTAATATTTTCGAAGGACATGTCAGTGATGTTTTTTTTTTTAGAATTTTTTTATATATTTTTTAAATCATATCATCCCAAGCAAAGTGATGATACCACTAAGCTGCAAGGGGCTACTGAGGGTGAAAGAAAATGAGAAAACAGAAGATAGTGATTGATATTGCATTTAAATTTTTGATGATCGTAGTTGACAGGAAAGCAAGAGTTCCACAAGTGAAAAATGCAAGAGAAGAATTTATTAGAATAGGACTTATGGTCACATTATTTCAACAGTAAAATGATGAGACCTAGTTACTAATCTAGTACTATTCTTAAATACATGATGATGAAGTACCAAATGAGAAAGCTCATTAGAACAATTGTCATGAAAATATTTATAGAAAAAACAAAGGGAAGCTATGTAATGTCAATGGGAAAGTGACTGAAGCTGAGATGCCAAGTTAAGACTGATAATATTGAAGTTTCTTTGGATTTCATCAAGAATCTAGAGATATATAGCAGGAGCATCATACCAGATGTGGCAGCAATATTCAATGCACAAACAAATGGTAGATTTTTAAATGCACAAGATAGTTTCTCACAAGAAAAATTATCTTGCATGACACAGTGAACCAACTTTCTTAGTGGCATTTTTAGCAATAGCTTCAATATAATCATTCCACTTCATGTCAGTGGAAAATGTGAGACTGAGAAGGCACAATGAGTTGCTCTCCTGGAGAATAGCATCATCCATACTGATGGAAAGCAAAAATGGTTCTCTAGGGTAAGTAAAAGATTTTTGTTTTGGAGGTTTTAAAATTTAAAAGCCACTTCTTGCCACAGTTAATAACAACAAATTTTTTACATCAGCTACCAGTTTTACTTTATCACATCTATTGAATTTACCATTAAGACAGGAGCAAATAGTTGTGTCTTCAGCATAGATGCAGAATTTGGAACTGGTGACATTGAGAAGATTATTGATGAAAATTAGGACCAAAGTAGGTCCAAGCATAGAGCCCTGGAGGGGACACCTATATTAATGTAAAAGGATCCAGATGTGTGACCATTAAACAACTTTCATCACATAATTTGTTAAGAAAGATTAAAAAAATTCGACCAGAGACACCATAGCTCTTCAGCTTGTGAAAAAGATCAGCATTGTGTTTTTATATTATAATAACAGACAATTAAATTTAAGGCCAGTTGTCAATTGATATTATTATTATTTATATTAAAATTTAGCTCTGGTATTTTAGAGAATTCTAAATATTGGCATAAATTTTATATGTTGCATTATATTATAAGAAGGTAGGCAGCTCAGAGAGTTGTTTTTATTATGTACTTTTAGGTGTGAGTGGTGGTTTAATAATTGAGGGGGTGTCAGAATTTTTCTCAATATGCAATTAAATGGGGGGTTCTTAAAAAGGAGGGATTTAAAGAGTAAAAAAAACAAAAAAAAAAAAACACCTTTTTTTTTTAAATTATGTTTACCAAAGAATGGATCATGGTAATTCTGGAAAGAATAAAATGAACAATGGTATGCTATTTTAAACAATGTAGTCTTAAAAGCATGCAATTAAAAACTTGAACCAACTCCAATAATTACAGTTTCCTGATTGAATTTTAGGAAAAAAAGCAAAAATCACTAAATGGAGTGGTATTAATAAGTTTGAATACATCCTCACCTTTTGTTAGGCACGTTTAAAAGTATGAGGACAAAACAAACAGATTAAAAATTTACCTTTTCTTCTCGCTCTTTTCGTTTCTTTTCTTCTTTTTCTTGTTCTTTTTTTTCTTTCTCTTTCTTTTTTTCTAATTCTTGGTTACTGAATAATAATAATGACAACATTGATTAGAAGCTTGTCTTATAGCAAGATACAACAATAAAAATTCTCTAAGACACCGTGAATTGTTCTATAAAAAATTAATCTTTTTTTGTACAATGTCAGAGGCATTGATATGATTTAAGTAAGAAAATGAAAACTGCAAATTTAACATAACTTTCTGGAAAATGCTTCAAAAATAACTTTTATATAGCTTAATGAACATTTACAAGCAATATAGAAGTAATGAGAATCAATTGTATGTACACTTATTATTAGTAAATACCAGTTATTAAAATATTAGAAATAAAAATATATAAAACCCACTCAGTATTGCATTCAAGTGTCTCCAGGTCATCATATACATCATCAGGGCCTTCATCTTTTATCTGAAATAAACAATTATATACAAAACTCAACAATTTTTTTTAAAGATATCAGCAACATATAAAATACATTCTAATGAAAAGCCATTGTTACTAATGTAAAATGGTTTTGTTCAAACAGCTTTGTACATAAACATTGAAATGTAATCTGTGTTCAACAAACCAGCCGTCTTTTTTGTATGTTTGTGTACGCCTTGTTTCATCCTGGAATTTTGATGATACATCCAGATTTGATGATTATTTATCCTTGTGGCTTCATTGGTAGATCCACTGTTATGTTTTTTTTCCTGGGTGTTAGAGAATTTTGTTAAAACAAGTTGTAAACTTTGTTTTTATTGCCATTCCTTGAAGTAGTAGTTGTTGCTTGAAAAGAAGATGAAATGGATAATATTGATATTGAAAACTGTAGATATATCAATTCTCCTCTTAAAGAATTAGGCACGGTGGAGTAATGGATAGCAGCTTGGATTGAGGAATCGGAGAGCCAAGTTCAAATTCCAGTCAAATCCATTACATTCACTTGGGAAAGGTATGAATCCTCTTCTTTTCCCCCAGCTATGAGTAGATGGCAGGACAGATTGGGTTCTATAGCTTTGTATGGCAACTGGTCGACCACAGAAAGAAATGGCAACCTACAGTGGGAAAAAAATCTGCCTTGTCAGTCATGTATCGAAAGATAGATGATCACCTAAGTGTGTATCACGCAGGGCACATAACTAACTGACTCTTGTAAAGTGTTCCTTTTAGAATTACCTTCTCAGTCTTATTATTAAGCTTTAGTGCCAACTGAATCAGGATTTTATAAGAATTCTGGAATGGCAAAGGAGGCTAAATGTTAAGAATATATTATGTGATATTTCATTATGTGTTGTACACAAGAGAGCTCTCATTCATAACAGTGTTAATAGTAACATTTTTCCCCATTTCTCTTTACTTATTAAAAAATGTCTTCAGAGCTAATCTGATAGTCTTTAACAGAAGGCCATTCTTTTCACTATTTGCTTTCATGTGGCAAATAGAGTGTAGTTTGTATTTTTAGTGTAATAAAAATACAAACTACAAGCCAGAGGAATTTGTAGAATTGGTCACTTTTGTGTGTGGTTTCTTTCTGATCCCAAAATAGAGAAAAGGAATTTTAGAAGATTGATTACTGTGCCTAGTGAGATGTCACTAGAGGAGAGAAAGAGAGCAAATGTAAAGTGACTATCTTATTAGGACCATAGGTACACTACATGTACTGCAGCCATAACTGAAGTGGAGGTATCTCGGCTAAATAGTCTGACAGAGCCCACTCATCTTTAGGGTAGTTTTGAATTCTGAGCTGCCACCCAAAGATAAAGAACCCAGTATGTCCTGCTAGTTAACACATAATGGGAGGAAGAGAGGAGACAGATACATGCTTTTCCCAAAGACATGTGAAAGCAAACAGACTAACCTGGAACTTGAATTCATTTCACTGACTCCCTTTTCTGCACCAATATCCATTACACTAACTACACATACTCAAAGTGACTGTACTCATCCTCACACAAAATGTATATATCTACATTATGTAGATCAAAGTCCTGGGTATGACATTAAACTGCAACTGGTGGTAAGGCTCTGGTTGAAAGTGCCAGAATTTTGGGGAGAGTGGAGTGACCCCTTAATTACTACTGCTCCCAGGTTCACCTTGTCCCAGGGATGACAGTACCTGTTTAGGGAGCCAGCTGTGGGTTAAATAGCTATTACATACCAGGAGCAGATGGAGCTTGACAGCCTTGGCAGGCAATCCATCTAGGACAAGGACAGTCTGATGTAAAACCTACAACCTGAGGACCTCGCTGTCACCGCCCCAGCTTGCTAGACCATTAAAGATGAACCACAGGTGTAAAGGGTGGGACCAGTACTGCGCACACTGCACTCCACCTAAAAACTCCACTGCACAAGCTCAAGGAACAGGTCCACGTCCGTGATGATACCAACACCTTGCTACAGCCAGACTTGCCTGTCCTGTATCGACCTGGTCAGCCATCAGCGTGCCTACAATCAGCATGGACAGTCCACTTCATAAATCTTCGTTCATGAAGCCAAGCCAAGAAGAAGATCAAAGTAAACTTTTCACTAAGCAACTTGTAAAAGTTATGTAGGGTTTTACGTCTTGACAGACATGAAAAATGTTGACTTATGTAATTAAGTGAAATTAGTATATTATGTGGTGTACACTAGTATGCAAAATTAGTTACTCCTGGACAATAGAGATGGTTATATTTATTCCTTTGTAGTCAATTGGAAATGGTATAGCAAAAATCTGCCTATTCTGGATGTCAGTTTTTAATTTTTAGCTTAAATTTTTTTTTAGAACAAAAAAAATCAAACTGAACATTAATCAGTAAGAACTACAGTTGGGAGTGAATGGCTTTGTCATTTTTGATACCATCAATATTGGTGACTGTTTCTTTACTTACAATCTTCTTTCAGCAGCAAACAGTGTTAATCAGTAGAAAGCAATGAGCATCCATCCTTTGAGAACAGTTTTTCAAATGCAGTAGCGGATGGTTAAAATCAGGTGTACAAACAAACACTAGTTAATTTCTGTCTGAATTTCTGAGATGTGGAGCTAGCATTATTTATACTATTGACATTCAAACTATTATCCTTATATTTGTTGTCATGACAATATTTCAGTCGTTGTGCCCTCTGGCCTTCATCAAATTACATTGATCCATTTAACTGACAAGGAATTCCAAACTGAACCCTTTATTTAATCTATGAAGGTAGCCTGTTCTCATTCCACTTCTTATGTCTAAGAATATTTCATCTAGTTCTTATTTTTTAGTATTTCTCAGTAATTCCTTGTAGGTTATCCAGATTGACATACACCTATTGAAGGCCTGAGAGTACTACATTATGATAACAACAACAAAGATGAGGACAATAGTCCAAAGTGTAAATAAACATTTGTCAAGTATTCATTTTGCATAATAGACACAAACAAGCAAAAAAAACAAAAAAAAAAAACAGAAGAGTTAAGTAATTTTAAATTTGTTGGTGTTTTAAAGACCATTAAAGTCTCAAATCTTTGAGCCAAACCAGAGAATATGACAATGTAGCCTAGGAAACTAATCTCCTTATTAGAGCTGATATTTTCTCTTTGAAAATTTTGTAAAATGTTACCAAAGGCAAGCTTTGTAAAATTGTAAAGTTTACCCAGAACTTTGAAAATTGTTAAATTAAATTCAGATGGGAAGCAGAGAAAAATTGTAATTGGATGATTTTTTACATATTTGTCTATTGAAAGCCTAGGATAAGTGTCAACGTATCTGTTGTTTTCGAGATGTTTATTATTAAACTGGGTTAATAATAGAGGTCTATAATTAATGTAGATCTCCCACAGAAACCAATCATAAGTATTTATGTTGTCTGACATTCAGTAGAGGAGGTTACTAGTATCAGAAAGTCAAGACACTCAAATAATTATAACAAAAAACAGATGATTGCAGAATGTAGATTAAAAGCAAAGGAAATTTGCTATCAACCTCTAATAATAAATATTATTTTTTAGCAGAATGGATTCTTTTTAACCAACATCATTATTCTGAGAAATGTTATATTTTGTGGGTTTGAGCAGATGCCCTTGTTTAAAAAAATAAAAATAAAATAACAGTGAAATTAATGTCTATCAGGTGAGAGATTGTGAAGTCCTACTAAAAATGATGTGCATCCTGAAAGAAAGTGTATTTCCTCTTTCAATCAGAGAAACCACTTCTAAGCCAAGTGGACCTTAAACATTAAGTCATAGGAAGCCACCATAGCTAGGCAAGGCTCAGTTACCCTATTTAAATGTGCATCTTACATCAGTCCTTTTCAAATCTATTACTGCTAATTTTATTTTCATATCCAAAACATCAATGTAATTTTTTTAGCAGTTAATAGATTTTTTTAATCCAACAGTTTTTTTTATTACTATAAATGTTATATTTAGTGGGTACATGTGTTTGTGTAAATAATCTTGTTTTCTTCCTTTCTTTAAAAAAATAAAACAAATAAATTAATGTTTACCAGATTAGAGATCAAAATAGGGTAACTGAGCCTTGTCTTGCTATGATGGCTTCCCATAGCCAAATCGTAAGCACACTTAGCATAAAAATAGTTTCCTTGATTAAAAAAAGGAATACATGTTTGATTCCTGTTGAAAAGCACATTTTCTTTAGTAAGACTTCCAAATCTCTTAATTTCACTGTATTAGAAAAACATGGATGTCTATTTAAACATGTGCACCCACTAAATATAACATTTATCATTTATACAATAAAAATTAACAAATCTGATCTGCTCAATTTGCATTCAAGAGACACTGACAATATTTTTCTTACATTGTGTTCCTTTTATAAACATGTAACAGTATTAATAGATTTTCAAATTTATTTAATAAATTATAGCAAAGAAAACGTCAACTTACCTCGTCAAACCAAGCGACAGTGTGTCGCATATATCCTACGACGGAAAAGAAAATTACTTACCAAAAAAAAGGGCATGTATTCCACATGACATGCTGGAGACGAAATATTTAGATTAAAAACAAGTCCGTTGCAAGAGTCTCTATAAAAGTATTTTGATATGCAAAAATTTGGTGTCCTCTCCCAGTTATTGAATTGAAAAAAATGCTCGGCCGATAAAAGCAGTTGGTGTTCCCAAATTGGGAGGAAAATTGATGTATTTTTGCTACTGCGTTCATCAGAGAGTGAGTTATTTTTCTGACTGGTTATGTGCATTGGGATTTGTGAGATAGTACCTGCGAATCGAGTTTTAAGAATTTCTTTCTACCCCCAATATTCGAGTCTGAACTTAGTGATTTGTTCTGTGTTGTGGAATTATTCTGTGACAAACATTTCCTTTGCTTTCAGAATGCTTACATAAATGTTTCTTTTGATTATCATTTTCTTGCTAATGGCTTATTTCAGTCTTCCAAGAAAAAATTATCTTCAGTAAATAATATTTAACTGACAAATGAAAAAAAAAATTTTACTTACTGTGTTCATTACATCATCATAAGTTTGATCAGGTTCAGAACCATTGATAGAAGCATCTGAAGAAATAATTTTAAAGAAAAAATAACTCAATATTCAGACATTATAATATGGTAAATGAACTGTACAAGATTATATATAAGTGTGATTATAAACTAAGTAACAAGATATTAGCAACTGTACATATGGGTATGCATACACAGATAAGCAAACAAATATTTATTTAATTTAATTTATGGTGCAAACAAAACAGTGCTCAATGTAGTTAAACAGTGCTATGAAGTATATATTTTTTAATATCTCCCTACCTACACTCTATATTTTGAATTTACACCCTAATAATATATCAAGTTTATATTAACTTTGAGGTTTGAATCTGTGTATAATTTAGTGTTCCTCTCATGAGACCCAGTATTTTTTAAAAAAGAACTGTACTAAGTGGTTCATTCACCATTCATGCCTGACAACTTGGGAAACCATGAAACTTTACAAACTTTTTGCACTACAAACATATGTGTGTGTGTGTGTGTGTGTGTGTGTGTGTGTGTGTGTGTGTATATATATATATATATATATGGTGCGATATGAAACTCAGGCCTCACATAATAATAATAATAATAATAATAATAAGAAGAAGAAGAATGCATTGACAGTCATAGGTCAACCAATCAAGACTATAAAGTTATTGTGAACTTCACAATCTTGTTGATGATTGAATAGTATGTGCAATGCCAGGGCTACATACCAGTTTAAAATAAAGAGTTGTCCTTCTACTAGACTGGTTGCCAACCATGGCTAGAGAGCATAATTTGTGCTACTATTTAACCCAGAGCTGGAAGTAGAAAAGATGGATTCATAGCTTGCCCAAGGGTATTCACGTGATAGTGAATGTAACTGGAGCTTGAACTTAGTTTGCAAATTTCTCATTCTGAGCTGCTAATCATTACACAGCCTGCACCTCCATCTGGTTCCATATATTTAGTAAATATCAATATCAAATATAACCAATTATTTTGTTAACAATGTTTTCAGATTTAATCCCCTGAAAATAGACCATCAACTGATAAACTGTTAGCATCTTTAATATTAAAAATCTAAGTATTTGAACCTAATAAGATATAAAGGCTGGGATGCATTACAGTCATTAAAATATGGCTTGGTAATTTTACCACTGCTTGTAAGGATTTATACAAAATGATAGAATTTACAAATATACAAAGATAAAATGTAGCATATAAGTGCTGAATGGCCAAGCATAGCTTTTAAGTTATACCAATCATATTTAGACAAACATGACTAATGCTACAAACATGTAAAGGAATGATGCCATTATCATATGTTATTATGACTATCATTTACATTAAGAAGATATTACTGCTATCAGATGGCAACCCAAAGACTTGTCATTGAATTTCTTCTAAAGGTAGGAGTGGACAAAAATCATCTCTGGTCTTTCTTATAGATCCCTGGTGATTGGTTTATTGATCATGGAAAAATGAAAAACCAAGTCAGTCACATCTAATTTGGAATTTATTTCTCAAATGATCAAAGTTCATTGAACTGAACTGCTTAGCTACTGAATATGTCCCAGCTAACAATAAAACAAATAAAAAAAGACATGGAGCCATATTTCTAATCAATTTGTAAAACACACTGTTAGATATTCACGGTTTGATACAAAATTTATTTGCTTAAAAAATAAATTAACAAATTTTTTGACAATTCTGTCCTCTACCATATGGGTATTTCCTTACTTAGTGATTTTAATTGGGGAGTACATTATATGTATTCTTCAACTCCCTTTATTATTGGTTAAACTGAAGGGATATAAATGCACATTAGATGATATGCATAAGACCAGTACCGACCACCTGATGATTGTGATCAATAGTGTGCAAAAATCTGACAGTCATGCATACACTGGATTATTGTATGAAACATATATTATAAATGCTCTGCCATTGAGCACTTTTTCTGGTGTGTCATTCTATTGTACTCCTTTGATAGTTGCTTTTCTTTGTGTTTATACACACACACACACACACACACACACACACACACACACAAATATAAAATGGAATAGATAGGTTTGTCTATCATCAGGTTCACATGCCTTCCCAGTCTTTTGAACAGAAGTAGAGGTTTATCCCTTGTTTCCGGTTTAGGATTGGGTTTCTGGTTCCTTCTACAGTTTAATTCAACTCTATACTCCTAATGTTTCTGCCTAAATTCTGAAAATTTATTTATATTTTTATTTTTTCTCAACAGGAGTAGATATTGCCTGGTTCACACTCTTTCCTGATCTTTTTAACAGGAGTGGAGGTTTATCTCTTGTTTACTGTTTAGGATTAAGTTTCCAGTTCCTTCTAAAGTTTTACCATTCTCTTTCACTTCCCAAAGTCCTTTGCTTCATAGTGCCATTATCACCTTGCTTGAGGTGAATTGATTAAAAGATAAAATAAAACATTCACACATACATGTCAAGCTTAAAGATGTAATGTAACTTTTCTTATATTTTTAAAAAACCATTTACAGTAAACTGAATTTTGTTAAGAAATGTCATAATTTAAATGACTAGTGAGGCATTAACTTGTAATCTCCAGCTTTAAAGACTGGAGCTTTAATTACTAAGTTTATAGTAGGTAGAAAAAAAGCAGTTATTTTTTAAATCTTTGTATTTATGCATGCTGTTGGGGAAATGCACAAAAATATTAAAATATATAATTCTTAAAAATAATATTTTGCAATATTAAAACAAATTTTAAATTTCATGAAAATGACACTAAAATAGTTTCTCAAAAAATAATAACAATCCCAAATAGTTAATTGCCATTATTTTGTTTTTTAGTTTTTTGTTTTTTTTATTTTGCTACCCTTATAGGGAGAAAAGAGCAAATGAAATACACTAACAAAGAATTTTTATTTGAACAGAATTTACATTCAATAACTTCATTACCTAATGAAGATAACTGATGAATTAATCTGTTTAATGTAAGTAAAGGTTTGTATCAAACTTAATGTCACCAAGTGAATTTCTTAGTTCATAAAGGAAGTCAAACATTACATGTACACACAAATAGCGTAGTATCCAAAAATTACAAATTAAGCCTTAATTGGCTTCATACTTACTTGGCTTATGTGGAAGTGGTGGCATTGGTCTGTTCGTTGTGCTTGTGCTGCTATGAGATGATGCAGAACCTTCAAGTTCAGCTTCCTCTTCTGCTGTTAATTCAGGACTGAAATAAAAGAATAAAGTAAACTAAATTTGCATACAAACATAAATATTAATTTTATATATATATTCAACGGCATACTGAAAGCCTTTTGGCCTCATCGAGAAGAGATTAAAAATAAATTGTGATGTTTTGGTCAGATTTTGCAAAGTAAGTTGGGACAAGAAATTGTCAGCTTCAGGTCCCAAAATGATCTTCAGACCAAACAGAGATATGAAGCTGACAGTTGCTATGCAGTATTGATTCCTATATCCATGTGGTCTGTCTGTCTCTCACACACACACATCCCTAAAGAATTAATGTATTTATATTTAACCCAGAATTTTTGTTTTTTCAAATGTTATTATAGTGGACACTTTATGTTTGCTGTGACATTTTTGTGGCACATCTGATCAAATGGGGGACACAGATTCAATCAATGCTGAAGAACATATTTTCTTTATTAAGATTTCCCAAATGCACAGACCAATAGATGCAATACACACTGCTTAATAAATAAAAATGGGGTGTATATTTTAAATACAAAGTATCCACTATAATAATGCTTGAAGTAATAAAAAATTACACACACACATTCTTGAGAAAATGATGTCATTTAAAATTTTTTCCAGGTTACTATTTCCAAAGTAAATTGAAAGATTGGAAACACTCTTTACATAAATATACAGACATAGATAAAGATTATATAGAAAAATAATTGTTTTAGTTCCAATTCAAAAAGTTGTTTTTTCTTATTTCAGAAGGGAACTTTTGATCTATCATTGCACATGGGATAACATCACATCATAAATTATTAATATTACTTAATAAAATTTTTTTAAAAATCACATTAATTAATCACATTAATTTCCTGAGCAGAAAAATTCTAGAAAACAGCCTTGTATTTCCTTTAATTAATTTTCCAATAAGCATAAAAACACATACATTATTAGAAACATGACAAAATGATGAAAAAGATTATCACAGAATATTCATGCAACATTTTTTTCAACAAAATGGCTCAAACAAGATGCTGATACTAAGAACACATTATCAAATTGGTCAAAACAGAACACAAATAGATTTCAAAACTGTTCAGCATTAACTTTAGTATATCATATATTTGACACATTATTGTAGAGAATCAGAGAGGATGAAAGATTTTGAAAAGCATATTTTATATGTGATCGGTTATGTAATTAATAAACTAGGAAGCATAGTTAATTTTGCTAATATTTCAATGTTTATTCATTTCATTTTCAAGCTAGTATGATAAAATTAAATAAGGTAAAAATAAAATGAATGTGATCAGAGATAAAGAGACAAACATTTTAAATAACACATTACTGTAACAGTTCTGATTACCTACAAGAATGATTTCTTCTAAATTACTTTAATTCTTTAGAATTTAACATTATTTAAACATTTTTAAAGACATTCAGTATGAAAGGGTTCACAATACAAAGGCACATTTTACAAAAAATATAGATATAATTAGAAATAATGCTTAATTTATACTCACATTAATGATGCAGGTCTATCTTCAATTTGAAGTTCACCCGAGTCTGAGAAGGAATGAAAAAATTAACATAAAATGAAAATCTATCAAAATAACAGGGTTTATTAAAGGTTTGGGGATATACTTATGATCAATTTTCAAGTAACTGTTCAGCTGTTATATATTAGCTGTTATAAGTTTCATTAAAGATGATTGACAAGGTACTGCAATTAAGCCTTTTATTTATTTTTTCTTATGTTTGTATAAGTGTTTTCTTTTCTAGATATAAAGTGTATAAAAATTGTGCAAATATTCTGTATACCCAACACTTTTGACTGTTCTTTTAGCCATTATTAAGGATGATTCTTATTTTTTATTTTTAACCGAATGTATGGATTTTTCATGTATCTAGAATTATAGGAATATTTTATTCTCCAAACATGGTCAACATATTGTGGAAGTGTTCATTGTTGATATATATTGAGTGTTGGCTTTTTCTTTTTTATTATTAGTGCTTCCATTAGTTTTAGTCTTTTTTACATGTGGATGAGACTATTATCCTTGTATTTTCTATTTAAGTATGTTGTGGATGATAGGTTTCTGTGTGTGTGTGTTTAAATGGATCCTAATTGAGCTATGGTCAGAGAGATGTAACATGAGTCTTCTCAATAGGCATGTCATAGTATGTCCAATATAATTATTCATGAGTTTGGTTTGATCAGGAACTGCATAAATGATTTCAACATTTTTAAAAGAAATGAATTTCAACATGTAAATATTTTTTTAAATATATCAATATAAAGAACAACATAGCTCACAGAAGAAAAACAAGGAGAAAATTATATTTACATATATACAGATAGCTCAAAAAATGAAGAAAAAAAATGTGTGTGCCTGTGTGTTTGTACCATGTGGTTGGTTTGAAATTAAAGTAGTTGGTTTGCTGGCAAAGGAAATCTCCTCTGGCTGAGACAATACCCAATGTTGCTGCTACTACATCCCAGTACAAAAAGAGATTAAGAGGATTTATGTCCCTTGCTTTTATAGACCTGAATAGAACAACATCTAGTAGGCATCATAGCAGAGAAAGTGAGGTAATCCCCAAAACACCAAATATTGAAGCTTGTTTAAACTTTGAACTTACATGTTATCTATGTTAATTGAATAGCATTTGTATATATGACCAGTATTATTACTAAACCAAAGGCAGCTTGATTAAGTATAATCAATTTGTTTTGGCATAAAGCAAGAATACTAAATGCATCATGTATACTACATATATATATATATATATATATATATATATATATATATATATATATATATATATAGGGAAGAACTGAATACATTAATACAGATTATCAATTTGGAATAATAAAATTATATGATTGATACTTTCTTTCCCTCTAAAATCTTGAAATACATGTCTGCAAGTTTGAGCAAAGCAGTCTTTAAAAGTACTTCAGCTTTGTACACACACACACACACACACACACACACACACAAAAGGTGTAACACACACCCAATGACTTTTATGAGTCAGGAAGATCCTAAGTGATTAAGATTGCATAATGCCAACCTTAAATACCAAACGTCTTCCAACTTCCAAAGAACTGAGTCAGTGGCAAAAGTAGGCAATAATCAAATGGCAATGGAAAGTAGACAGAAAACCTATACAGATTTACTTATTGAAAAGGAAAAAACTTTTACTAGTTTAAAGAAATGTTTGACTCACTTAAAAAATTCTAAAGTAAGCTTAATATCAGGATTAAACTCTTGTGGCCTTTAAGCATTTTAAGCTTTTTTTTTTAATTGACCTCAGTCGAGATCATAGAACTCACAGCCCTACCCTGCAGTTAATTGTGACCACCATAATCTTTTCAATGGCTGTATAGTATGCACCTCCCTAGGGCTACATACCAGTTTTGAATTCAGAGTTATCCTTAGCCTAGACTGGTTACTAACCCCAGCTAGAAAGTTCAGTCTGACCTGGTATTTGACACATGGAGGGAAGAGATGGATTCATACCTTTCCAAAGATTATTTGTGCAAAAGTGAATGCAATGAACTTGGCTGGAATTTGAACTCAGTTCATTAATTTATCTTTCTGATCCACTAACCACTACATTAATCACACATTCTTGTGATTATTCCCCAAACCTAAATACATTATTAAAAATATTTTGTAAATAGATTACTTTGAACACTGTTTTTTTGGAACCAACTCCCAAGAGGATGCTTCCTTGATCATTACAATATTAACCAAGACCACATAAGGTGAACATCATTGTAAAAAAAAACAAAATAAAAAAACGCAGAACTAATACTTAAAAAAATTTTAAAAAACTACTAGTTTATTTTACCTTAGAAAATAAAAAAAAAATTTAATAATAAAAATTTTGAAATATGACTTTCAAAAAATACAGTTTTAGATCTCATAGTTAATCCTTGGTTTTCTGAACTACATTTCACACTTCATTCTCAGTAATATATATATATATATATATATATATATATATATACTCAGACCACAGAAGTAATGCTATTTTGCTTTTTATTACTTTCTGCTTTTAAAAACTATTTTATTACTTCCTTCCTCAGGGAATTGGAATAATGTTAGAGAATTCTTACAGTAAGGTAAGAATCAATATCATCTGAAGTGCAGCTGTTTTGAACATATAAAAAAATCCTGAGTGAAAGTAACTTGTATTACTTATTTATAGTTAAAGAGTATAAATAAAGAGTAATGTAAAAATAATAAATAAAATAGAAAGAGAGAAATCTGAGAAAATTATAGATGGAAGATGTTGATTAAATGCAGCCTAAAACCAGTCAATGTTCTGAGGATGATGCAAATTAATAAACTACAAATGCATACTGCTTGTCTCCATCTCACTGACATTGCCAGTCAGTTTGATTTTCACTGAGTGTACCATTATTGCAGCCTTGTATCAAACTAACTTAATCTTTATCACTCTGTATGTGACTTGCTGTACAAAAAGTTTATCCTGCCACTGAAAGTGATTCTGATCCCTGAACAATAGTGTGTTTGAATTTCATAGTTGTGTTGTCATATTCTACTACGGCAACAGAAAATAAATTTCAGTGAAATTAACAATAAGGATATTGTGATTGAGAGGCCTTTAAAAAGAATGCAGAGGAAATAGAAGTAATATTAATAAAGGAGGGTACTAAAGGATAAGCTTAGTAAATATCTCTCTACAACTATATTCTTCAGACTAATTTTGTGTTATAAACTGCTTGATGATCAATATATAGATACATGTAGATGAAGGTGTATGGTAATAATAAAATATAAATTGCTTGGGTAGAGAACAGGGTGGAGGCGCACGAACTAAAGAAAAACCAGTATGAGTCACTGCATGCCGAATGTATGGAAAATGGTTGGACATGTAACGTGATGCCTAGTGAGATTGGGTGTTGTGGTTTTCTGGGACACTCGGTCATTTCCTTCCTTTCAAAAATAGGCATCACTGGCCGTTGGTTGAAAAGCGTTTCACATCGCATTCAAAAAACTGTTCAACACGTGTCAAGTTGGATTTGGTCGAGATCAAAACAAGCAAATAAAATGAGCACAACATCACGACCTAACATGCGCAAGTGAAATATTTGCATGATCGTCTATAATGATTTTTACGAGTGTGTCAATAATGGCAAACGCGTTCAGGAAACTTTCATTATGGATAGAATTTACTTAAAGGAATGATCAATTAGCTTATCTTCATACCCTGCCTGGTGGCAAACACTACTGGTGGTGCCAGGGGTGGCAGTCCCACCATAGCCACCGAAACCGTAATATCACCCCTGGTTGGCAGCTGATAAAGACAGGGTATCGCACGTGCTAACATATGTTGTATGTTAAAAAAAAAATTTTCAAGAACTGAATCAGAAGTTCTGCTACATAAATTAGTATAAGCAATTCATAAGTTGTAATCCTTTCTCAGAAATTGTGTTTCTACACCTGAAAAATTTATAATGCAATTTTTTCTTTTAGATTTTACAAAACTATATTTAGTGAAACTCCTTTTGAATGAGTAGCTAAGCCAAAATATCCACAACATATAAATTAATATACCAAAAGTCATGGCTGACAAATGAAATGTTGCTAGCCTCTAGCTACTTTATTGCTATTTCCATGGCAAATGTTCAGAATGCATTTCTTAGTTCCACCAGGCAGAACCTACCAGACTACATATATGGCATCCACATCTTCATTCTCTTCATAAGGAGGAAATTCCACTCAGACAGCTTCTTCCCCAGAACTGTCACTTTGTGGAACAGGCACTCAAGACCACTACCTTCTTCAAGTTTAGGGTCAACAGTTATCTATCCTATCTTATAATATGGACTTCTTACAACTCCCTTTACAGCCTTACAGCAACCTCTTAATAACCTTCTACCTTGAGTGATTTTAGGCCTTGTACTAGGTGAGCAATAGTATTAAAAAAGTGCCTTCTATAATGTAGGGTCCCTAGTAAAGTGCAGTAAGATGATATGGCATTAATTTCACAAGTGATCAGAAGACTTCTAGAGAGTTACTGAGCAACTGCCATCATAATAGCTGTACACATTGATATTTGTAACTTTTGTTACAATAAAACAAAATGAAAAACAAGAAGAGAAAAAATAAGAAAGAATGCTAATGAAGAAAGAAAAATACCAGCATACACTACCTATTCAGTCAAAAATTGAAAAACAAAAGCAAAGACTATTAAAAATATTGTCAGCCAGAGTGTCTAGAAACTTTCCTTCAAATTACAAAGTTGTATTAACAAATTTTGTGCATAATTGAGACATTTTGTAACTGCTATTGGTGTAAATCTTAATGAAAGTAAAAGAAATTTTCTTTTACACACCAACAAATCCAGCAGTAAGTAAAACTAATAAGTACCATCTGTTTCTGTGTATAATGTGACCCCTAGATAAGACAAGGTAAAAAAATATAGCAACTTTTCATGAATTTATCCTATATCTGTAGTATGACTGCTTATTGATTATTTAAAGATGATTTTATTGGAAATGTAGTTATTTCCTGTATCTTTAGAAA